TTCGGTCTTCACACACTTTATTTGGTACTGAATATAGTTCAATCTACATAGGACATCACTTCAAAATTATGTGGACACCATCGCCGTTTTCAACTGCAGAGAAAAGGAAAGACACTGACCACATTTGTCAGCAAGGGATGGGGGGCAATCAATATTCTCCCACCACTCCCTAATCGGGGGAAAACATGTTGCCAGCAAGCTGGAGTCGCCTGACAGCTGAGGTGTGATGGCTTTCCTAAGGAGACTGGCCATCTTCCTCCCTGGACCTTTGGTTAGCACTGCAACTGCCTACAGTCGATGGCAATCAAGTGCTTAGTTCAGGATAGTGTCTAAAACAACCTAAGAAAACGACCTCAGGAACTCAATTTCCTCCACCTTCATCAGACATTTGCTGTCTACTGCTATTACTGAGTGTGGACCTGGTGGTGAGACGCAGAGTGGAGGATGTCAACACTACAAAAGACGTGTACTAACGGATGATTAAAAACAGGAATGTTTTTAAGCCATATTTTCTGGAAAAGACTTTGGAACTACTCCAGGATAAATTCCAAACATCTGAAAGTCAACCCCTCCTTTGCCTTCAGACAACTTCAGTGACCTTCCTGTGCAGTTCCAGCACCATGTCCTGCAGACGTGAACCCAGTGCACTTGCAAGGGAGGGCTCGATATGCCTGCTGACAGCTTTACAGCCTCGACCTTCTGAAGCACTGCGCACTGTCTCATTCCTTTGTGACACTTAAGACCCTTGGTAAACAGGTGTATTTGGTAAGGCAATTTTGATTTACATATTACTTACATAACTAAGGACCTAGGCTTGACCCTAGCAGCTGACAGTATGGTATCCACCACAAGGTGCTCAACAAAACGGGCCGATTTCATACCGTCACCAACAAGGACTGGCTCATTTTCCCTTTTGGCTAATTCTAGCACAATCACTAAAGCCAGCATTTTCAAAAGCAGACACACGACGGTTGCCAATTACAATCCCAGTGTCTGACTCTGCACAGTACCTTTTATTGTGGAGAATAAAAAACAACTCTCATCTTGAAAATTCTGAACCATCTAGAAAGAGAAAGCAAATATATAATTAAAACACAGTTGTCCTGTCGTAACTGCACAGTGGTGGTTAATATTAGTTGTTAAAGGAAAATGCCTTGTCGTCTGTTGCCCTTGCAGAAGTACTTTATGAAAGGCCTGTGCAGTGCGCACCTGCCACGACGAAGTCCATTCATTTCACCACTGCGGCCCTGCGTACCTGTGAATCATCACTAACAAAGTGGTTTCGCAGATGTGCTCTTCTGTTAGTACTTGCCACTTATCACTAAAGGCAGAAATTCGTTAAAACTAACCCCTAACTCGTAGAAAAGGATTTTTGAATATGTGTAAGAGTTTACAGATTTCTTCTCTAGTTCTACAATATTTACAAAAGTATTAACGCCAAGGTAGAGCAGCCAGCCATTCTGCTTACCTGATCACTAACAAGAATGTGAATGCCAGTGGGGCCCTGTCTGTATACGTGGTTAACCTGGTGCGAAGGGATATTAAACACCACCGCGAGCTTTCGGGCCACTTCTGAGGCAACCATTTCTTCCAAATAGATTGCATGATAAACTGAAATGAAAAAACAAGAGCCACACTTTACCAGTAATCTGATTTTGTTTCACCTGATACACAGGGAAGATCACACCTTTCAAATAACATCTTCCCTGTTACTACCCTAAGTTCACCCAACGTATTCTTAAATACTGACTGTGCTGTGCTCACGAATAAAGAACAGGAACTCTGTACTAGGGATTCAGATTTTCTTCATCTGTGCATTCATCTTACTCTTAAGTGACATGGAGTTACAAGTATTCAAGGCTCAATCAGCAGGACAGACTGTAAAGTAGTGGAGATCTTTCCAGAAGTTAGAACTAAAAGATTTCTGACAATAGCTGCACAATCTTGGGAAAAATCTAAGAACAGGAAGCCAGTTGGTTTAAAAAAGGCCCTTGATTTGGTAATCCTACTACTGAGAATTTATTCTGAAAGTAAAAGACCACTCATCCTCTCCCCTCCAAAGGATCAATAAAATTAAATCATGAGACATTTTTCATACCCCTTCTCATTCTTAAAGCACAGCTGCCTTTTTGAGTTCTGTAATCTCTCTCCCTGAAGAGTTCCAACCACACTGCTCTCATCCCTTTCAGAATGTGGTAAAGGAGGATGTTACCATACAAACAAGAAAACCTTTTTAAGCACCATGTGGAAAAGAGGGAAGTGCCAGGATTATTTCTCCTCACCTAGTGATCTATCCCACATGGATGAGGAGAAACCTTTGGCTGAGCAGCTCTCCCACGTGCAGGTGAGAAATAATGTGTGTTTGCCATGACAGCAGACTGCAAACACGAGCCTCCCTGACTGGCCAGCCAGGATGGTGTGGTGGCTCTAGCCTGTGACAATCCACACACGCACCTGCACAACCCCCAAGTCAGTAAAACGGGGTGAGAGATATGTGCCAAGCTGTCACTGACAGCTCATTTCAATAATCTATACTCCTCTCTTTTCTAGGCTAAAAAGCCCGATAGTAGACGGACACTGGCAGCTCCCTCGTCTGCTCTTGTGGTCATACTCTGACAGCAGCAATGGGCAAGTCCCAATGCACCAGGAGTCTCTCCAAGGCCCGCTCAGGTCCTAACCACTTCTCACTGGAGAGGAGGCAAGCTGCCTCTCCATACTCACCATAGGGCGCACTGCCACCGTTCTCCCTACTGCCTGCAGCCTGCGTGCTGCTGGGCTGCTCCTGGCAGACGTAGATGGTTAAGCGGGGCCTGACTGATCTGCAAGGGGAAGATGCCGTCTTAGTCTAGAAAAGTCGCCACATAGCAGATTCACAAGACCAACTATAGGATTCTAGATTTTAATCCCTTAGAATAACTTTACACTGTTATTTAAAATCATTTACTAATACAAAAATAAAACCCACACATTTCACCCCAACTATCACAGGTGGTCTAATCTGAACATCTAGACTCTAAACCACTGAGATGCTGTCAAACTTCAGTTTCAATTCAGCAAAAATTACTGAAGATTCCGTTTTAATGGAACTGACACCACACATAGCAGTAATAATAAAATCATTTTAAAAGTGCTAGCATTTAATTGAAATGGAAGTTTACATTTTAAGTAACGGTTTAGTAGCCACGATCTTGAAAACCACAGATTCTGTATAGTTCACATACATAACCCAGTCGACTTCAAGCCGTGAGCACTGTCCATGTGCATTCTACCCGTCTTAGTCTACCTGTGACCTCAGAGCCTGCATCATATCTGCACCTGGCCTGAGGGTGCACACACAGTAAGTCTCCTTGTGAACGTGCTGCCGGGCCGGGCGTGGAGCAACAGTCAGCCCACACTCCTCATGCAACCAAAGGCACACTGGTCCAAACAAAACTCTTCCTTTCAAATGCAGTGTTTTACCTTGATTTCAGAGAATTATAGAGTCGGATTCCATCAGCGGCGCCACAGATCTGTACTAAATCCTCCTTTGTCAGTTTTAGTAAGTCGGCACCTGGAGAGCAGCAGAAAGGTGGTTCACACAAAAATGAAGAACGAGCTGGCTCTGTATCCACACAGCGAGGGCAATATCCTTTAAAACATCTCTGGTATCCTGAGCACACATCTTGCTGCCTCCATTATGTCAACAGTGGCTCAGAGCAGGTATGCCGTAAATTGAGTTGGCAGGCAGAGCCTACGGGACTATTTTGAAAACAATTTCCAAGTCTGGGGTGGGGCTGTGCATGTCTGCACAAACTTGACTATGACCCCAAGTGATTAAAGTGTTACTTTTTTTTCTTCCCTCAGATTGGTCAATCAATGGAACTTGAAATTCTTGGGGAATTGCCCAAAGTCACACAACTATAGCCTGACTAGACTTCTGTGCACTACAGAATGGAATGAAGAGTCTTTCTTTAACACAACTGTCACAACATCCAGTTTTAATAGGAAAGCAGAGTGGATTCTGGTATACTTTTAACATTTGTCCCATGTGACATAATATCTAGGCTTTGTTTAAAAAAAAAAAAAAGGAGAGGGACACTGACAAAAGACTGGTCATTTCTGCAGGTGAGGAGGCCACACGGAGGTTCATCATATTCATCTGTGTTTTATGTGAGTCCTTCATTTTACTCTTATTGAAGGGGGAGCTCTGGTGGTGTCATCTGGAGCCTGCTGTGATGCTAACCCACAGACCCTGCGTCTCCTGAGGTTCAAAACTACCAGCAGCACAGAGAGAAAAGCTGGGCTCTCTCCTCCACAGGAACTTAAAAGTCTTGGACACTGAGCAGAGTATCGTTGTGGATGGCGGGCAGTGAAAGAAGTACTCACGATGCAGTTTATGCCCTGAGATGAAGGCATCATTTTCATCTTCTCTATGTAATAAGATAGCACGGTTCTCCTTTTGTTTTAAGGGCTTAGATGGAACAGCCTAATCACTGTACTTTGTAGAGATAAAGGCCAGAGAAGCACTCTCCTATGACACATGAACATCATACCTGAGACAAGGAGGAGAGGTTAGCTCTCCTCTCCTTCAGAGGATCCACTAGGCACTCGAAACACATAGGGATATACACCCTTGACCCAGACAAGCCCTCTGAATCTGAGTGCCCACAAGAATCAAAGAATTCTACTTCCCTGTGTCTCCATGGATATAAAAGACCTAGGGAAGCCCACGGGGACCACTGCTCTCCCAACCAGAGCTAGATCTTCCTGTGCCGAACAGGCCTGTAAAATGTTGCCTCGGCCATTTATCCTGTCTAAAACATCCATTACTGTCCTTCCAAACAGATTTTCTATAGCAGTACCTACAGAAGCATGTTTGGCCCTTTTTAAAACAACATCTAAATGGTCTTAGTTTACTATTTAAGAAATATTATGAAATTAACACTTAAGCATCTTCACATCCTGTTATGACAGGGAGCATGCCTGTCCCAAAGAGGAGCTGCTGTTAGGTATCCTGAGTCAGCAGCTGACCCTCCTGCAGGGTTTCAGAGGCTGTAATTCACAACAGGAGACTGTCCACCTTTCTTCTCTCACAGAGCACGTAGTAGAGTCAAACGTCTGCCTTGGGGTTGGCAGCACAACTCCTTACCATTAAGCCTCCAGAGCTCCCTAACCACAGAATACGGCCAAACAATAAAATTAACAAGGTACTAGTACAAAACTAGTGAGAAGGATCTCAAGGCCTTTTGCTAAGTGGAGAAAGCCTGAATCAAATCCCTATGCACATCCAAAAAACTTCAAAAGGGTAAAAAAAGCCACAGACTGGGAAAAAAGTATCTGGTAATGATAAGGGACTTACATCTAGAATTTATAAAATATTAGAGCACAAGAAGATCAAGGTAAACAACCTACCTAAAAAATGGGCACAGGATATGAACAGACACTTCACCAAAGAAGACATTCAAATGGCGAACAAACACATGAAGAAATGTTCAAAATCCCTAGATCTAAGAGATGCAAATCAAAACAACTCTTGAGGTATCACCTCACCCTAGTGAGAGTAGAAAAATTTAACAGAACAGCAAACAACAAATGCTGGCAAGTTTGTGGAGAAACTAGAACCCTTATGCACTGTTAATAGGAGTGTAAAAACGGCGCTTTCTCAAAAAGTTGCAAATAAAAGTATTTGACCCAGCAATTCCATTCCTGGGAATATGCCCTAAAGAAACAAGAACTGCCACCCAAGCATATAGATGCTGACCCATGTCTACTGTGGCTTTGTTCACAATAGAAAAGATTTGGAAACACCGGTGCATTCAAACCATCAGGGACGCAAAACCTTTCAGTGAGCAGTGCAACTCCCTTCAGACTATGCCACCAGAGCGCTCTAATCAAATGGCAGAAAGTAAATTTCTTGGTGTAGTTTTATATAACAATTACAGAAAATCTGGTACTCCCACTGGGAGAAACCAGTGGATACACAAGCTTTTCCAGAGCAGCCTTGCAACTTCCTACAAAATTATTTCAAAATGAAAAATTAATGAGAATGGAGTTAGAGCTATGTACACACACAAATGAGTACAGATAAATCTGGTGAAATCTGTAATGTTCCTATGTCAGTGCCTTCATTTGGACGATACGAGAGTTCGTGTAGGGAAAGCAGGCCAGGAACAAAGGGCCTCCTTGTGTATTTTTTGTGTAACTTCTTGTCAGCTTGTATTTCAGAGTCAAAATGTTTTATCTGAAAGTTATGAAAAGCACAGAAGTAAGCAAGCAAATGTACCTGAAAAGTTGGAGAACAGTCTTGTGTAGGAAGAGAACCGGTTTTTAAGCAGCCATTGCTGGGTTTCCTGGATTGTGGCTGAAGGCTGAAGTTGCTATTAACAAAAAAACTGAGTGTAAACAAATTCTCAAACTGCCAAAAAGTAGCCCTAAGTATCTCACATGTTACAAAGAGCATGTAAACACAACACAGAAACCATCTAGTTCTAAAATGGGGAGTAAAAAAAAATTTAAAAATGCAAGCACATGGGCAGGACCTCCCCGTGACCCTGTGCGGCCCTACAAGCTCGGGGGGAAGGGGGAGGACACTTACTTCACTGGAGGCCTGTGAGACGCCATCTCCCTGATGATTTGGAGAAGAGGAATTGCTGAGAAGGAAGAAAAAAGTATTTTTAAAAATCAAGAGATAAAAGACCATTAAACTATGTGAATGGGATGAACTAGAGAACAGAAGTCTGCACAGTAGGCACTCCTGGTCACAGTCAACACAAAGAGGTGCTGGAGACGCGGAGAGGCCTACGCTGCGCCTGTCCGGCTCTGCCATCTGTCCAGGAGGAAACTCCTCTGGCTGGAGAAATCTAATCAGATAAACAACTAAAAAAAAGGTAAAACCCCACAAAGTTTTTTAAAAAATCAAAATAACCAAACAAAATATCAAACCCTACTTTAGTAATAAACTTTTAAGAATCATTACATGTCAGTCTATTACCTAAATACGAAGTAGTTATCATTGATTAATATACATATCCATAATTACAGAAAATAAAGTTCACAAGAACAAAAGATACTAATTTCTCCTACAATTCTTGTGTTTTTAAATCAGAGTGCTATCTCCTAGGGGCACACTGGCAACTCAATTCCTTAGGTTTCTGGGGTGCGGACTGCCCTTCTCTATCTGTGAGCCCATTAATGCTATTCTTACACAAATATCTACATGTTGGCTCTATATTCAAAACATGCCCCGTCTTCTACAATTTCCACAGTTGGTCACATGAGGCTAGAAGCACAAAAGTCGGCAGGTAAAGACCAGATAATGATTTTTCTCTGACACTGAGGTACAGAACTGTTCTCGTTACTTACATGCTTCAACAATACCAAAAAAGAGGCTGTGGAAATGGAGAGACTCATGAGACTCAGCACACCTTAGCTTACACAATCCCACACAACAGGTACCTGTCTGGGACACTGCAGGTGCTCTGCGGGGGTGAGGTGAACGTGGGCGCCGCGGAGGGGCTGTTATTCACATAGGCTGTGGGGGTGTCTGGCCATGGAGAACACTAAGGACAAAACAAAAAGAAATCAACGCTGGGCTTTTCAAGAAGGTGAACAGATAACTTCTGTTATTTATCTCTAGTCTGGCCAAATGCAAAATTACATAATTCAAGATACTGGACACTCATCAAGCAACCTCACAGAAACATAGCAAACTGACTTCTGTGTGGCAAAGAAAAGTTTACCTGCTGTGTGCAGCTAGATACTGATTAATCTTAGGAGACCTGAAGTGGTAATAGCAGTAAAAATTTATAAAGACGTTTTAAGGATATGCTTTTGTACAATCTGTTTCAAAGACTTTCACCTCCCTCTTGACTAGGATTTCAGCCTCCCTAACCCCCCACCCCCGAGGTATCTATCAAGATTTAAGAGGAACAGAGACAGGAGAATCATAAGCAACACTGGAAAGGCAGTGGTTCTGCCCTGCCTATCACCCCCTTCTCCTCCCCCACACCCGACTCCCCCACTTGCATCCCAAGATGAGGAATCCCCAAGGAATGCCAAACACCCAGATGTGTGAAAAATGCAGAATAGTGTTCGCTGCTGTCTGTCTAGGCTAGGAGGGGACATGGTGAACTCAAGTATTTGTTCAGCTCAAAGTACTATTCTTAGCAGGCTTGGAGTAAAGTCACACTGACTGTTAGGAAAGATGAGAGCGAACATCAAAAGCACAGTGAGCAGCCAGGGTGGTCTCCAAAGCAGTCTAAGCCCCCCTAGGCAGGGACCCCACCCAACAGACACTAGGTTAAAATTGTTCTGAGAAGGCTCTCCGTTCCCAAGATCTGCTTTCATAATCACCCTTCCCTCAGTCAATACAAGAAAGTCACCCCCTCTCTCACTATACCTCAGAGTGTAACACTTCCAAAGCCAAGCACAAGAGCACTCGAAGACCCTGAGAATATAATCCAGGACTCTAGAGACTGCAAAGAAGAAAATGCCAACCAAGTGGGTTTCAGTTTTTTCTTGCTTTCAACACAACTCAAAGAGGACTGAACTGATCTATCAGCTGGCACACTGTCTACTAGACTGTTAAAACAGATGCCAGGGTTTTGTCAGATAACGCAAAAGGAGTTCAACATGTGAACAATAATGCTGAAAGAGGTTTTCTGCTTATAAAAACCAGGTTTTCTCACATCTATATAAAAAAAATCAAAAGCCTGTGATTTTCTACCATGTCTCATTTAAGATATATTTCTAGTAATATTTCAATTTTTATAATAATCATTCTTCAAAATTTTCATAATTTTGTCTTTGATAAATTGGTACTAAAAATACTAAGTTTTAAATGTCTCAACTCAGTTATGAGCAATACATTCACAGAATTTTTAAATCTTTTATATAAGTTGGCTATAAAGTATTAGGGTGGTCTTTCAATCATAAAAATATGGCGTATGAGTTTAAAATTATTTGAGGTGAGTGCAACAGAAATGATATCATAACCAAAAAGCCAAAGAGAACTTCATATTATTAAGGAACTCAAGTGTACACTTTTAAATGAATGATAAACCAAAACTAAACCCACGGCCACCAAGTCCATCTAAACTGATGACGGCCACTGGATTCCGAGGCTGGCGCTCCCCACACTGTTCTTTAGAGCTCGGCCGATGGGTTGTAAACTGCCAACCTTTTGCTTAACGGTCCCACCAGTATAGCACTACAGGCCTGAGGCTCCACACTGCCGCTGCTCAATCAGAACCTGCCCCAGCGGGTTTTGGGAGGCTGTAGACGGCACAGGAGGAGAGTCCATTCTGCCACAGAGGCGGCTGGTAGATTTGAACTGCCAGAGGCACCACCTATGGTTTAGCAGAGCTTAAACGCATCATGGTGGGTGTCAAATTGCTATTTAAATTCCACAGAACAAACTTTAAAAACTGATGTCATTGTTTAATAGATAATGTAAATACAAGTTCAATATGCCAAGAAAATGCCACAGCTTTAACAACTATTTAAACTGATGATGAAAACTGTCCGATGAAGATGTCATGACAAAGAGTGAAGGAGCCAACAAGCTGCAATCACATCTCTCTGGTCTAAGGACCACCCTTGTCTGACACTCACCCAAGTTATGGACACAAGGAAAACAGAATACTGAAGCATGTATCCTCTCAGAAATGGGATAAAAATAATTACAGACTTTGTTCCAATTAAATGCAAAGGGGAGAGGGGGGAAAGCCATCTGGCTAGACAGCACTGCTGGACATACCACTTAACACGAGAGGTCAAGGTTATACCAACTGATGTCCACACAACACCCTTCTTTTAAAAACTAAGGCCCTTTGGTTTTCTTTCCACCTTGCTAAGTGGGTCCTTACCCTTCCTTTCAGCTTATGTGGGCTGAGGCCTAGGACTCACTAGGCCAGCTGGCAAATTTAGTCAATTACAGCAACACCAAGGAGGGGCACAGTCTGGTGTCACAGTGGTTAAAGCACTCACTGCTAACCAAAAGGCCCGCTCAAACCCACCATCTCCATAACAGAAGTGGAGACTGCAGCCTGCAGAACCCCATAGGGCAGATCCGCCCTGTCCTGTGGAACTCTAGTGGCTTAGTTGTAAAGAACTGTGCTGCCAACTCAAAGGTACAAAGGCTGAATCCAACAGCTGCTCCATGGGAGAAAGATGAGCAATCTCCTCCCATGTGATTTACAGCTTCTGAAAACCCACTAGAGGGTCAGCTATGGGTCACTTCTGATTCAACGGTACACCACCACCACCATGCTGTCCTCCAGGGTATGTCAAAATCAACTTGACAGCCATGGGGATGGACAGTGTGACACATCCACAGTAACTCGGCTACCATGAAGTTTCCTTCTAACTCCTGCCCAGACTCAAAGCAGTAAAACAGCAAAATCCTATCTAAGTTACATAAGCCTTTTTTAATACTACAAATATCAAGTCTCTTTAAATTTGCTTTGGTAATTACCGCCAGCTACTTAATTGAGGAAATGAAACGATCAAAAGGCTGCTTTTTACCTTTTGCTAAATAAATATGATCTGCAATTCACTGAGCCCTGGAAACCTAATCATCTTTAATGAAAACTGGTCCCAACAGAGGCGTCTCCTTTTAGACACACTTGATTCTCACTGCGTCCTATTTTTACAGGTTTCTTTTACAGTCTCAGCTTAAGGAGAAAAGCACAGCAGGAACTTGGCAGGGTCTATTTTATCCCGTCCACTCCCTTCCTTGTCTTTTAAAGTCTGCAGTGGGGCAGTGCCTGGTGCCCTTAGAAACTACCTTGAATGCAGGAGGCTCTACTGGTCCGTTCTGGGTGCCGTTTTTTTTAGGCAGTGCTGACCACCTCAGGCAGACGCAGTCGGCAGTCCTGATCCGAGTCAATAAACACAGCTAAGCGGCAGAGCTCAAGAGACTTAGAAAGGGGTTTGCTGTTTATCGTCTCCTGGGATCCAAACAGGCGTGACTCTAGTCAATGTGAGGCCACCGCACACAGTGTCATTTTTAGGCTTCAATGTAAAGGTTTTAAATCTGGGTATCATTTTTTACCAAAAGTCAACTTCAAGCACGCAATAATGGTAAGGAAGCTGGCCTTCTGAAGGCCAGCGAAGAACTAGCCAAAGACAGGAAGTGCTACTGGCTTTCTTTTCAAGGGATTAAGTCATATGTCACTTTCTTAAAAACAGGTTTCCAAGATGAATTCCATCTACGTTTACAAGCATCTCGACCAAACTAACGATTGCCAAGGACAGCAAGCAACACAGTAGAAGATGTGAAATCCCAAGCTAGTAAGCTTTCAGAGTGAAGAATCATTGAAAACTTACCACCACCAACTTTACTATCTTCAGGTTAGTTTTAGACTGTATTTATGCATCACAAGAACCCATATTTAAAAAAAAAAAAAATTTAAAAAAATCGTTAAATAGCTTCTAACAGGAAGGAAAAGTGATTGGAGTTACTAAGATCTACCCAAAAGTTTTACTGAGAATCACTTGTGAATCTTAGGCTAAAAAATCAGGAGTAGAAATACAAAATTGGGGAGGTGTGTGTTTGGCAAAGTACACAGAGCTGTTCCAAGTCTTTGACTTGAAGCAGCAGTCCAATAAAAGAAAATATTCCTGGTGTGCTCCTCTTTCACACCAACAGGGGCACACTTACTGCATGCATAAGTATATAAAACAATTGCACCACTTTAATTCTACAGTGAGGCACTTGTGATTGCGGCTTTCACAGTCCACAGGTAATCACGGAATTTATGTATGAAAATTAAAAAAAATTTTTTTCATCTTTATATGCAAACTACAATGCTTAATAGTGCTGCCAGTAACACACAGGATGACAGCTATCTGTGATTTCTTTTTAATGTGTTTACATTTCTTGATATGTAACTGACCTAAGTTAACCTGATTAGATCATCTTTTGAGGATTGTTAGAGAGTCCTGCCATAAAAATTAAGATGTGCTATGATCATTCTAAGAAAATGCCCCATCAACCAAGCCCTCTGGGCACATGGTGACTGCCATCAGGTTTGAGCACAGCACTGGCTTGAAAGACGAAGGCACAGGGCGGAAGACGTAGGAAACACGAATGCAATCAAAGACTGTTCACTGATCTGCCAAACAGGCTTTTAAAAGCAAAACACACACACTTAAACATGCAGGAAAATGTGGCATAAACTATTACTGGGTATGTTAATATCAAACTTGTCAAATCAAAGTGTGAATGGAATCTTATCAATTATACACATGAGAAAGCACCATCTTTTTTAACTACACAAAAATTGTAGCTGTTTTACTAAAGAAAGTCTTTTCAGGTGTAACTTTAGTGTTCCTGGGGGCGTGGGTGTGGGGTGTGAGCAGGAGGAAGGGAAGACAGGGAGGACACAAGGAGGGAACACAGATCTAAGAGTGCTTTTTTTCCTTCCCTCCAAAGCCACCCAATATGGTCAACACTATTTGTGCTTTGTTTGAAAGTGTTAGATTTAGGAAATTTTCCTCAGTGAGGAACAAAAAGAAAGCAGTGGGTCTAAACAAAAGCAAATTAAATTAAGACAAGGACATCAAGAACAATTTTGGCTTTACTTTTCAGTGGAAGTTGGTCCTATATCTAACACTGCACAATGAAGAGAGAAGCAGAAGCCCCTTACACTGCCTCGCTTTGCCAGAGAATCACCGTAGTCTGCTGGCAAAGTCCGCTTGCTGGACTTTTTCTGCTCATGTTCAACTGCATCTTCAATTATAGGCTCAAGCCTCATCTGGACAAACACCAAAGATTGGGATCAATGTCTTTTCATTACACAAAGAAAGATCTAATACCCTGTCTCTGTAGCCAATCAAACAAATGTATGACTAGCAGGAGTCAAAGGGAAAGAAACCCCAGCAGTGGCAAACTTGGACATTCTAGGTCCCGACTTAGTATCTTAAAAATGATTTAGGTCTGTTTCTGAGACCCATTTGGGATTTCAGCATCTTCATTCCCACCCAAAAGACCAATCTACTAAAACCCCAAATTTATGATTCCCCCCCAAAATGTCATAAAACCCATTATGCCAATCTCCCCACCCATTCTTCCCTCCCCCCTGAGGTGACTCGCATCCTCTAGGTTCCTGCCAATATGCAAACCTTTGCTTCTCTTTCAACCCAAGGCACCGCCCGCCGTACCTCGGTGAGGATCGTGGTGTCATAGGACGGCTGGTACTTCTCCTTCTCGTGGGCAGTTCTCTTCTCCATTTTCTCTCGGTCTGTCTTTTGTTTCCTGTCTGCTCCTTTAGGCTTAAAAGAAAACACATTATTTCATCAACTGGCTGAAAATAGCAAACAGATTTGTAAGTGAAATAAAGTCTCAGTAACTAAAGGCAGGTTTCTCTCTTACCTTAAATACTTTGATTTGGCAACTAGCTGAATGGAGATGGTCTGTGTATTCCCCATTCTCATTCTGCTTAAAAGTGTCAACCTGGATCCTAAAAGGCACTCCTTTTTCACCTCCATGCTTCCTCGGAGTGAATTCTGTGCTGATACAGTGCACCTAGAAAACAATTCAAACTGACATGGATTCAAAGTATACTGCTCACATGCTATCATGCATAGCGGCCCCTCTAGAAAGTCCTGCACCGGTATCAAGTCAAGATCCTTTAAAATGAACTCCCAAAGATTAGCTAAGTATCTCCCTACAATCTGTTGTGGGTTGGTTTGTTTGGTTTTTTTCCTTTCCAGAATCTTGACAGTTTGGTGTGTTTTGTTTTTTTAAGCACAAAAAAAACCTCTACAGCCTGGCACTTGGCTTGGTAACTCCTCTACTGGCCATTTGGGCTCCGGGTTCCTAAGAAAAAGGTGAGAGTCATCCAAGCACATTAACAGCACTCCTGCCTCAGGGACTCTGTGGACCAGACACTTGGGAGGCACATGGTTTGTTTCCTTAACAATGATACTGGGCCTTGAGGTCTGACTTTTCAAACTTCCTGGTCCTCTCTATCTTGGACTTCACTAGGTGTATGAGATCAGCCAGGAAGTGAGTAGGACTCTGTGAATTATTTCTAATGTATAGATTTCCTTTCAAATTCTATGTACCAATGCAATGATAAGCTATCCTATTATACACTGTGATGTTTTGTCTGTTATTTCTATATCCCACTTTACTCATCCTATCCATGTTACTCAAGATCCTGGATACACTACTCATCTTCTGTCACTTCCATCTCCTCTTACACTTACCATTAAAGTAACAGTCTTAGTACAGACTACCAAACTTTACTAATTCTGCCTGCTACACAGTCCCTCTTCTAGCAATCCCATATAATAATGCCAGCCTCTACAATAAGACTGTGTACAACTTAAAACCATGATTCTTAGTTGATGGGGAATATTGCTGATAAACTGCCAAAGTATAAAATACACTAAAAATACTTTTCTAATTCAAGCAAGCCCTAGCCCACTCAGCCAGCCGGCTCTGCTTGCCCATAAAGAAGGCCTGCTCAGCAGTATTAATGCCATCACTTACAAATCTGAACCCATGAGACAGAAAATCACGGTCATTTTGTTTTCTTTTCAGGTAGATCAGTACTATGCTTAAATACTGGCTACAGATACCAAACGGGTAAAATGATGGATCTAGAATTTAAAGTATTTAAAAAACAATTAGAGCATAAACTATTGTCTTCTGAAGCCAGGTGAAGAGTACACAGAATATGTATTATTAATTTGCTGTTTTTTCTGGGTTTGAAAATTTCACTATTAAATAGTTTTCAAAAGAAGTTAAGAATTTCAAAACCATAATCTTTCTAAAAGGGTAGCATTTGTTCATTAAAAACGGAAATTATTGTGGTAAAAAAACTGAATGATGACTGATTTTTTTTTTTGATGACTGATTTTTTTAAACAAAATTTTAGTGTTATTTTTTTTAAAAGCCCAAAATATTTTACAATAAGCATTTAAAAGAAATTACACCCACTCCTCAATTATCAGTTGTCTGTCTCGTATGACATTTTACACTTAGAATGATAGTGAAAAAAGAAAAAGAAAAGCTGAAAAATCTGTCACGAATTGATGATAGGCGTCTTGTACAGGCATATGCATAATGAACACTGAGGTGCAAGAAGAGATCACCACTGACTGTTTGCAGTATTACAAATCAACTTGTGGACACCACAGTGGATTCATTCAGTCCACCCACAGACAGCGCCTGTCTGGTGGTTCACATCCACCAGTGGTCCCCTTGGGAGAAAGATGGGCCATGACCTCCCATATGATGGAGGGCCAGTTATGTGCTGGTTCTGTGTTGACAACAGTGCAATCAGAGAGGAGAGAGAGGAATGAGAGAAGAGAGCAAGCTGGCAGTTATGGAACGTAGTTATCCTCGGCTTTGCTATGAGGTCTTCTAATTTCCGCATAATGACTTGGTTGTAAGTGAAACACGGATATGTTACAAACAATTCCATCTCACCCATGACCTTCTGCATGATTAGGTTAATAAGATGCTTTAAATAATGTAAATGTCCAAACCTGAATGAAAGCAGATGTGCGTTTTGCAGGGTCCCAAAGAAATTCAACTGCGTTTAACTGGCTTGGGTTTGTCCTTGTGTCAATTATCCCCACAGACATTGGTATATCTAAGTTTAAAGAAAGTTACATTAAAATTCAAAACATTAAAATAAAATTTAAAACTTAGCTTTTACTGGAATATATTCCCATAAAGTGATTGCAGTCCAGGCAGAGCCTTTACATCAATGTTCTTCAAAATCAACTTCCTCACTATCACAACTCATCTATTTGGTATCAGTTTCTCCTACCATAGTTACATTTAGTTTAAACATGTGCCAAATAATGACAATTGAAGTAAATTATTTCAAATTATTAAGTTAAAAACAACTTCACTTTTAACTACAAAACAGTTCAAGTCACAGGCTATAATAATACAAATGCTCCACACAGTAACACATAATGCCTGCACTGTGGGGAAGGGGCCGGGGGAGAGGAGCCAGCGCTATGGGGACGGGGTTGGGGGAGAGAAGTGAAATGACTGTCCTCATCACTCCACAGTCTTATGGCTTATACCCAAATCAAGAAGTCTGTCTCCCGGACGGTTCCATTTCCAGCCTTCCAGTTGCTGATGTTCTGTATATTGTAACCGTCTATCATGGAATACAACTCTTATGATGCTCTAGAAACAAGTAGAAAAAGGAGGACTTTGAAAACTTCTCAAGCTAATAATAATAATAATAAAAAATTCAATAATGCATTAATCTATAATAAAATAGCCTACAGAGTTTGCTTTAAATATTTCATAATGCAACTTTGTTATCTAGAATACTAGAATGCTTCGCTTAAAAGTACAATTATATAATTCAAAAAATTTAAACTAAAAAATAAAAAGTACAAGTAGCTATTATAAAAAGGAAAGGTTTATCAATTGTGGTAGTTAACAGGGAGGGAAAAGGAGAGAAAGGGGTATAAACTTATGGAATAAATCAGTAAACTGGGTAAAGAGGTCATACATAATGAAGGCTGATTAAACACTGTATTTAATTGATGATAATGTTATAAAACAAACTATGAATGTATGATTTGTAAGCCTTCACTCAAATAAAAAATAATAAAAAGAACCCCCACACCTGCCACAAGGTATATGAATCAAAGACAATGTATATGAGTAAAATATAAATGAAAGGATGCCAACTAATACAATAAAGAAGACAAAATAGTGACATAAAAAAGGCACAAATGAAATGGATACCTAAGAGGAATTTGGTGTTACAAGTAAAAAATTTTAAGTCTATCCTCACAAAAATAACTGGCAAAGAATTCTATTTTGCCCATAAAAGCAGTAAGCAAACAGTATTCTTTATTGTTATACTGAAAATGCAAAGTATACACAGGAATTATTAAAATGTAAAAGCAGTATGATCAGAGACAGACAAAAACCCAAGTCCAAAACAACAACAACAACAAAAGAAGTTAAAAAAAAAACCAAACAAACCCAAAAAACCCCCCAAGTCCAAAGCCCAAATTTAGTGGTTTAAAAATAATTAAACAACTAATGCACTGTCACCAGGTGGGAAACAACTCACAGCTGACTCCCCAGTGGTTTTACAGAGGCTGAAAATCAAAGGGTAGGAGACTGCTCATCATTCTCTCACAGAGCAGCTGGTAGATTCAAAAGCCCATGCTGTGCGGGCTTTTGAATCCACTGGAATTCATCAGTTAAATGGGGGAAACTAGGCTGAGTGAAATAAAGCACAAAAGCTACAAATTATGATTCCATTTATGACCCTAGCAGTCAAATTACAAATATCCTCACATTCTTCCAAAAACAAAAACTTTTATGTAAAATGCAATCTCAACTATTAAAATCAGCAACTATGGTTAACAGAAGTATCAGGAGTGTCCATGCAGAGCACACATAAATCTCATCCAAGCATTCAAGCTCCTAAGGAAGGCCTTAACTTGAACCCACAATCTCTTGGCCAAGCCTCTGCTCTCCTTCCTCCACCTCTCAAAGGCCATGCCAACTACTATTTCATTCAGAAAGGGCAAAAGACAATCAAAATACATCCAGGTACCAGATTTGTACTAGTTCTGAATTCAAGCAAGAGGTGTATTTCCAATAGCCTACTGTCTGGTTTGAACACAGCAGGGAGGTTGGGTGGTGGAGAGGTAATGAACTTGTGCTGCCAAACTGAAACTGTGGTTCAAACCCATCAGCTACTTCACAGGAAAAATATATGCCATCTTCCCCTGTGAGATTTACCCCCTCTGAAAACCTGTGGGAGGTGGGGGTCAGCTATGGGCTGGTTCCAACTTAAAGGCACTCAACAACTACGTTAGCAGTTCTGCCACCTCCTCTGAAATGCAGTAAAAAATAGTATTTGGAAGGAAATCGCTTCAAAGAAAAAAACTTATTGTTAGATATGTTGTTATATGTCATCAAGTCACCTGCTTATCACAGCCACCTTATGTACAAGAATTCTGCACCCTGCCCTGCCCTGCGCCAGTCTCACTCAACACATCCACCCTCACTACAGCAGTTACCCTGGCAATCCATCTAATCCAGAGTCTTCCTCTCCTGCACTACCCTCCACCCTTCTGAACAAGATATCCTTATCCAAGGTCCCTGCTGCCCATGTCCTCAAGGAACGTGTTAGACATTGGTTATTGTAAAACAAAAAAAGGAGGCCAACCCTCATCATCCCCACCCACACCCACTCTGCAGAAGTCCAAGTTCAACTTTTCATAGGCTTGGGGGCTTCCTGCCCACAGCAGAAATGGGAAATGCAATACCTCAAGAGGCTATGAGACCTCTGGGTACTGGGAACATCCTCAGAAAACATCACTTAGCCTGTACTACACTGACAGTGCCTGCACCCAAACAGCTCGGGCATCTATCCTCTGCTCCAAGGCCACTTTTCCCATGCTTCCCCTAAAGGGGCAGATCCACGAGAGGGAGGCAGGATCCGATTCTCTCCCTGTACAGGTCTCCGTGTGCCTCTCTGCAGGAGGACGGAGGATCAGAAGTGTGGGTCTACTCTTGCCTTGGCAACACTTTACCCCATGAAGTTTCCTCTCTCCTCCAATAACCCTCTTCCATGCATTTTACCCTGCAATGCTGTGGAGTTTATAACAAACTATAAAAATTTTTTAAGAGGACAGAGGACATACTGTATACAAACTCCTGCAGCATCTGTTAGGAATGAAAAGAAATTATCCTTACCTTTACCAATTTTCCACTAATCTCAGGCATATCTCCCATTTTCCGATTATCCAGCATTCGAATTTCATAAGATTGACCTATTAAAAAATTGTGCATTAAAAATGATCTATAGAAAGGGCATAATTTTACCATAAATCAGGCTGGTAACCAAAAGGCTAGAAATGAAAATCCATGAGCTGATTTACCAGAGAAGGACAGCTTCTTACTGTAAGATTTACAGCCTTGGAAATCAGATTGGGGGGGGGGGGGTTTCTATGAATTAGAATTAAGTGGTCAGCAGTGAGGTGTTTTGGGGGGAGACATGTCCCATAATGGCATCAGATGTGACTGGCTTTCTGACAATGGCATTCTGACTATATGGCCTTTTCCAACTTGCATCTTCCACTTAGCATGATGCTGTTAATATTGTAGCATCTCTCTATACTTCTTTCATTGCTGAATTATAGTACTTCATTGTAGAGTTAGAATACATTATGTTTATAATTTTTTATCATTATCATAACTTACATTATTTGTGTTTATTCACCAGCTGATATGTATTTGGGATTGCAGTGCAGTTTTTTTTACCACTAGGACATCTGAACTCCCTAGGATATTTGGGATGTTTCCATTTTATGGTTTTTATAACTAATGATGCTAAGTGACATTTGTATAAAAGTTTTTTGTGGTGACCAAAGCCAATTTTTAGTGCCTTGTACACAATGGACAGCATGTAACATTTTGCTATTGCTCAATTAGTGTTCTTAAGAGAACACACACATGCAAGTGGCCAAACAGTACACGGATTCTGGAGATAACTGGCTATTGCTGCTGTTAGGTGCCATCAACTCCACATCATAGGGACTCTATGGATAAGATTGAAACCTTGCTCTATCATGTACAATATTCACAATCTCCAACATGGTCAAGGGATAGTGTTACAATCCATCTTGTAAGCATACTCTTTTCTTTCTCTGATCATCCACCTTTCCTAGCGTGTTCTTTTCCAAGGACAGGTTCCTCCTGACAGCATCAGGAAATGATGTGTGACAAAGTTTCAGCAGCAGCCTTATTTCTACGGAGGCCACGGGCTGCACTTCATGACAGATTTCACTATTTTGGCAGTGTATAGTATATTCATTATTCTTTGCCAGTGCCACAATTCAAAGCATCAATTCCTCTTATCTTCCTTATTCTGTGTACAACTTTCAGATGCATACAAAGCAACTTAAAAACTCTGGGTTGGATTAGGTATAACACAGTCTTTAAATTAGTATCTTCGTTTTTTAGAACTTTAAAGAGGTCCCTCACAATAAATTTTTTCCAATGTAACATGTTTTGATCTCATAAATGCTGCCACTAACTACTGTTGTTAGGTGCCACTGAGTTGACTACAATTCATAGAGAATCTATGAAGAGATCTAAACCTTACCTTATCTGGTACCATCTTCACCACCTCTGATATGCTTGAGCCCACTGTCACATTACTGTGTCAATCTATCCTGCTGAGGGTCCTTCTTCTTGTTCTTTGACCCTCCACCTTTCCCAACATGATGTTTTTTTCCAAGGACTGGCACTTCCTAACACTGGCTTGGATCATATGTACCTTAGTCTAAACTGGCACCTTTGCTCTTCAACACTTTGGAGAGGTCCTTAACAGATTTTCCCAAAGCAACATGTCTTTGCTTTTTGTAATTTTTTTTTTTTTTCCCCATTTTTATTTTATTATTTTGTGTGTGTCTGTACCGTCAAATTGGATCTGACTGGTACAGGTTGAGATTGCCCCTCCTTCTCCAGCAGAGCATTTGGTGGATTCGAACCACCTATCTCTGGGATTGCAGTGCAGCTTCTTGCCACTAAGCCACCAGAGTTCCCCTGCAACACGTCTTTTGACTTACTGACAGCTATTACTATAAATGTGGATTGTGGATCCAAGGAAAATTAAATTGATGAAAATCTTTTCCCAATCTATCAAGATGCTGTTAAAAGGTTACATTTCCTTAAAAGAGGAAAAAGTACCGTTTGATCCAACTATTGCATTACTCTAAAAAAATAGGAAGTCCAAAGCCAATATATGCACATCCATGTTTACTGCAGCATTATTCACAATAGCAAAGAGACAGGAACAACCCAAGTGTCCCTTAATGAATGAATGAGCAGGGAAAAAACTATTTGTACATTCATACAATGGAATACCATGCAATGATAAAAAAAATAATTTGTCAAACACTATACAACAAAATGAATTTAGAGGATATTATGCTGAGTGAAGAGAGTCAGTCACAAAGAAGACACCGTAGAAGACCATGACTATAAAAGCCTAGGGAAAGGTTTACCTACAGAGAATCATTCTAGTATGGGTACTGGAGCAGAGAAAAGAAAGAAAAGCAGGGTATTACAGATTGAATGAATGATCAAGGGGAAAAACCCAAAACATACAGATGCAGGGAAATAAACTGTGGCCAAAAATTCGTAATATATTTAAAAAGTCCAAAACGATATTAAAATTATGTGTGATTAACATCTAAAAATGAAAATATAATTTGGCATGCAGAATGTGAGTAAACATTAGTCCTTCAGGTATCACATGCAACTGAGGTTCTTAAGATGTAACTTCTATCTTGTTCATATTTCCATGTGACACACAGAAAATATACACATGGTTATGCATCACAGGGTCAAGGTAAAAGTAAAGACTATCAAAATACAAGAATATCACGCTATGGTAGATGAAGGAAAGTAAGTATATGGAGTTTATTATTAAGGAACATTTCTCACTCAACAGTTTGACTATTAGATTAGAACAACTTTATGGAAAGAAATTTTTTTTAACTTATTGGTAGGGGGAGGGGAGATGCAAAAAGCACATGCACTATGAATTGTTCTCCTTAATTTCATCATTTCCACACATTTTATGTTTTGGTACACTGAATGCAAAACACACAGTAAACCAAAATTAAGCAAGCTGGAAGGTATCTGCAGTGTATTTAACAATGGGTCTAAGTTCAGAGCAGTAAAAAGAAATACTTAATATAAAGTAATACAATATATATTATAGATTATATTAATAGCAATATTGATATGAAAATACTTAATACAAAGCATATAATCACACTATAAAGTCACATTTAAAATTATACTCAGTCTCACAAGAATTTAGAAAAAAAATTTATGAAATTTCTGTGCTGATTATCTGATCAAAACGAAAAAGTTTAATAAATAAATATCAGGTGGGCAAGGGTATGGGAGAAATAAACTACATCCACTGTGGGGAATCAAAGCATGTATACAACATACTAATTCTAGCATATCAAAGCATTTTTGTTTATATTTTTAAGTTACACTAGCTTGTGAATAAACTTTTAAGAGCACCTTGAAAATGATGGTAAGGCTATACAATTAGGGTCTGAAGAGATGCTGTGATTAATTATATCAATAGATTATAGTTAATATTATAAAACAAAAGGCATTAGGATTGAATTCAAACCAGTTATGATTTGTAAACTTTCACCAAAATTTTTTTTTAAAAGTCCTTTCTTCTTTCCCATGGTAAACTTTACCCTCTGCCTGTTTTCCATTTTGCTCACCTATACTCTTACAGCACTAAAACCTAACACCTTATCATAAAGCACATAAGATATGGGTAAATAAAACTTAAAAAGTGTCATTAATCACAGAATACAGCTTGATGTAGTTTATGTATTTTCAGCACAAACATGCTTCCATCAGAGTCCAGATTCCGTGCTTACTAGAATCACTCTCGAGTTCCATTTTTTTAAAAAAAAATTTATACTGGTTTGCATATAAAATCCATATACACTGTGATTCATTCATGTACTCTGAGTTTCACATATTCCTTCACTCACTCAGTTTCGTACCATCATTCTTTTTTTTTTTCATACCATCATTCTTATACACTGTGTTTTATAAAACTAAACATCATTAATCTACACCTAATGTTATCTATTTTTTTCAGGTCCCTACTGGATCTGTCCTAACTCCTTCACCTCCCTGTTCTGCCCACCAGACTCGAGTTCCACCTGAAAATCAACGAAAATCATTCCTACTTGTTCCCTTTAGGATTTTCTCTAAGAAAGTGTGTAATACATTTTTCTCCAGATTCTCCTGATGCTAATCAGTTTCTATTATTTTGTTAACACTGAGTAAAATTCTTGTAATTTTCATTAACTAAATCTGTAACACTGGGAGGGGGCAATATTGCCATCAATTTTTAATTATTATCATTAATCTGGGCTAGAATGCCAATAACATTTACTCTAAAATTTGTAACATGAATTATTCTTTGTTACCTTGGTTCAAGTAAGTGAGTGTTTCATCATGCAGCTTTACTGCCGGCGATGTTGCAGCACACATCACATACTGAAAGGGTGGCTGTTTAGTTTCATCATCCAATGGAAGGCTAGAATCTTCCTGCTTGAAAATGGGTAATGCCAGCACATCACTGAAAAACAAAAAAGAAAATCAACACTAGCCTTAACTTGGGCTATTACCACATAATGTAAAGCAAGAAAACATTTATGAGTAATTTCTTTTAAAAACTAAGGCCTGGCACAACCATTCTGGAAGGCAGTTTGGTGCTTCCTCAAAAAGCTGAACAAAGAAATTCCTTCTGACCCAGCTGCTCCACTGTTTGGAATATAGCCCAAGAAAATGAGAACTGAGGCTCAAATGGAAACGTGTACACCGATATTCATAGGAGTGTTATTCACCATCACAAGAACATAGAAACAGCCCAGATGTCCAACTTCAACTGAGTGGATTGAGAAGTTGTGGTACATTCATACAATGGAATACTATGCAGCACACAGGAGCAATGATTTTGTAAATTACTACCTAACTTGGGAGGGACTGGAGAGCATTATGCTGAATGAACTAACTCAGTTCCACAAGGACAAATACTGTATAAAACCATTATTGCAGAATGAATATGAGGATCCAAGGGGGAGGGTGGAAGCAGAGGGGTGAGGGTGGGCACAGGAGTGAGGGTGGGGTTTTAATCATAGGGTTGCACAATTCGATGAGCAGGAGGTGAAGGAAAAGGGAAGAATCTTCTGTGAAAAACAATGTACCTGAACTTTGTAAATAAATCAGTATAAAATAAAAAATTTTTTTTAAAAAGATGTGACATGATGTATAGACCAAAAACTATTAACTCTATGGTATTTAATATTAACAACCCATATTTCACTAAGGAGAAAGGTGACCAGAGGCAGCCGTAAGTAGATAATGGATAGTTAATAAAGTCCAAGCTACTGATTAAGAAATAGACCATAATCCACTACTCTCTAGTAAACTCCAGTTCACTACAACTCTCCAGGAAAGCCAAGAACTGATTCTAGGGTTTCCAAGACTGTAATCATTACAAAAGTTGATGACTACATCTTTTTGCTCTAAGGTGACCGGTGAATTCCAACTGCAGACATTTCAGCCACTGGTATAGCAGATGAACCACTGGACCATGACATAGTCATGGACAATCTCTCTCTCTCTCTCTCTCACACACACACACACACACACACACACCCCAACACCCACAAACCAACCACACTCACTTTGGTTCAATTCTCATTCATATCAACCCTTTAGGAAAGAGTAGTAAAACTACCTGACTGGGTTGTGATAATGGGCACTGGGGTAGTGCCAATTTCTACCACTGGGCAGAAATACTCAGCAGATTTCCTCCTCTTTCTCCCGTGGAGGAGGTAGTGCGTACATAATTCTAACAATTAACCCACCACACTACCAGGGCTACTCCTTTTACGAAAATTCATTCCCTTCAAGTCAGCACTGATTCTCCAGCAGGTTCTTAGAGGCTGTAAATTGCCCAGGAGGAGTCTTGTCCATCTTTCTCATGTGGAGCAGGTGGTGAATTTGAACTAGCTGTGTCTGGGTCAGCAGCACAACTCTTTACCCGGGAGGCCACCAGAGCTTGCACTAAAGTTAAGGCTAAATAATAACCACAGATGCACTGACTGCCCTAAAAATATTAGGAACCAAGTCTCCTTTGTCACCCAGGGACTGCCCATAATGTCTTTGTTGTTGTTAGCTGTGTAGAACAGAACCTGGCTCTGGGAGACCCCACATGTACCGGGAATAACAGCTCTATATGGTTTCCAAAGTCACAGTTATTCAGAAGAAGCAAATTAATGCACCTGTGGATGTATTCAAACTGCCAACCTTTAAACCAGCAGCCAAGTACTTAACTACTTAACTGTTCATTATTCAGAGACTCCTCATAATGGCAAGCAACACAATTCAGACCAAGTTCACCCTTCACTCCAAACAAATAAGGAGGAAAAGTTGCAATACAGACAAATCATAAAAGAGAAAAAGAGGTCAAAATCCAAGAGAAAGTAATAACGCAGAGGTACAAGAGATGAGAACTCAAAGTGGTTTTGCCTGAAGCAATCTATCCAATCCAAGAACAGAACTGTAAAGGTGCGCGCACTAGTTAGCTTCTCTGGAATGATCCAGGGAACCTTAACCTTGAATGTTGCAAACACTGATCGCAGATAAGGGATCTGAAAAGCAAATACAAGTCCTGAGGCTTCAAATTATTTCAAGTCATTTTCAAATGCTTTTACCTAAGAATTACCGGCACACATGGACAAACAAGAAACCAACAGCGCAAACAGCACACTCCAAAGTAATTCCAGATTCTGTGGCTGGTCAGCTCTTTTGTGCCTCTGCCTGAGAATGTCATATATACGACTTTTCACTTATCAACTATCCTGTACTCTGACATTTCACATTTATGACAACAGTTACAAAATGGAAAAAAGCTACTATCCATCACCACTGGGCCAACTGGCAGCATCATGATGGATGGTGAAGAGACTGAGACTGTTAATATAGCTTTAGTTTGCTTGGCTCCACAGTCAACACTCTTGACACCAGCAGCCAGGAAATCAAGACATATTGTGATGGGAAAGTCTGCTGTTAGAGACCTCTTCAGAGTACTGAAGAGCAGTGATGTCACTCTGGAGATTAAGATGCACCTAATACAGTCCATGGTCTTTGCAATCACTTGCTATGCATCAGAGGCCTGGACAAGGACTAGGGAGGACAGAAGGAGAATTGATGCCTTTGGGCTGTGGTGTTGGAAAAGAGTATTGAATATACCATGGACTGCTAAGAAAAAGAACAGATTCATCCTGGAGAGGGTTAAACCAGGCTGCTCCTTGTAGGCAAGGACTTTGAAGCTTCGTCTGACATACTCTGGACATGTTGCAAGGAGGGACCAGTCTTTGGAGAGGGATGTCATGCTTGGGAGGGTGGAAAGAGTGCAGGGGAGGAAGACCTTCTGTGAGGTGGACTGATTCAGAGACTGGCACAGGATAGAGCAGGGTTTAGGGCTGTTGTACATAGGGTTGCTATGAGTCGCAGACACCTTGATGGCACGTAACAACAAAAAAACATCCATCCATGTATAAAACTGTCTGCCAGTTTGGGGGGGGGGTGTCTTTATAGGTTGTGTCAAAGGTAACTACTGGCAGGAGATCAAAAAGTACAGCAAAGAGAAAAGCCAGAGCCAGGCACGGGTTAGTAGAAGGCGTTTCAGAGCACCAGCAATATTCTCAGTAGCTCAGCCAGGGACAATACGGATCCTAAGTCACCAAGTGCACGCACGGGACCTGGTGGCATAATCCACAGAGGGCTGTTATGCTACACAAAAAGCAGTTCAAATCTACTTGACACGGGAGGAAGAGAGGTAGTCTCTTCTCCCACAATGTACTGACTCCAAAAACCTGCTGGAGGGTCAGCTACAAGTTGGAACTGAATGGCAGGAAAAAGGAAAGGTGGAGGAATAGAGTAGACAGGAGAGGGAGGGTTGGAGGAGACACTACAGCAGAGGCCACAGAGCCTTATGCGGGGCACAGAGCAGAAGTCGTCGGAACTGACCCACAGCTGACCCTCTGGAGGGTTTTCAGAGGTAGTTAAATAGCACGGGAAGAGACTGTTCATCTTTCTCCCACAGAGGAGCTGGTGGTTTGAACGGAGTTCTTCTGGGTCTAAGTCACCAGAGCTTGAAGTGCAAAAGAGTGACTTAAAAATAAGGGCCTTCTTAGAGCATACACATGCAACGATGAGAGCATGAAAGAACTAGGCTGACAGAATTTGTAAAAAGAGGTATTCTTATCAAGATAAAGTCAAAGAGTTTACTTAACAGTTATATATATAGGAAAGAACTATTTTCTTTAAAAAAACAAAATTAACAAAACTTACTAAAACTTTAAGAAATAATAATTTAACAATCTACAGAGATGAATATTACCAACACGAAAAAAAAACACATCTTAGACTAAAATAGTTTTACAGAAAAGTTCTACCAAATTTTCAAAGCCAGGTCTTACATTAATTCTACAAAAAACATAAACCTAGGTAATATTACCCAACTCATTTAATAAGATTTAAGCCAAAAATAAGAGAAAAACTAGAAAGCTCATTTCTGTTTTTGACTATAAATGCAAATATTCTAAATTATTACAAAAATAAATCCAAGAGTATAAAAAAGATAGTAAGTCTACCATGACCCAGTAGGATATCAACTGGTAATGCAGGATATCTTTTCAATAAATAATACTAAGAGAAACAACATGTCCATATATTGGGGCTGGACGCGGAGAATACAAATGCCTTCTCCTTCCATTCTTTATTTTAAAAAAGAAGTATCAACTACAGATAAATTATGTACCTAGATGTAAAACAACATTTCCTAAAAAACTATTTCTACTCTTGGAGAAGGAAAAGACTAACTGTAAATTAATAGATTAATTAACCTGACTATATAAAAATCAAGACCACTTTTGTTCCAAGGCCATGATAAAGAGAATGATTGAAGATTTTAAACCTAGAAGAAAATATTTTAAGTAGCTAGACGACCTGGACATACATTAGACCAGAAGTTCTCAAGGTGTAGTCCACAGAATCCAAGGTAATTGAAACTTTTTACAAAGTTCAGGAGATCAAAACTTTCTTCACAGTAATATTAAAATATTACTTGTTTTTGTTTTACTGTGCTCATATTTACATCAGTAGAACAAAACCAAAGGCGGGTAAAACTGCTGGAGCCTTAGCATCAAGGAAGGCAGTATCATCAAACTATATTATTAGTCACTGCAGTATTCTTGAACATCAAAAACAGTCAAAACTTTTATTAAATAATGACGCTGAAGTAGGTGTATGATGTCTATCACAAGAAAAAGCTCCTGCGGACTTTGAAGGAAGTTACTATTTTCCAAAGCAGCATGCATGTCATTACAGACATGCACAGTGAAGAGTCAAAGTGCAGCAGAGATAAAAATACTTAGATAACAATACAAAGAGCACAATGATACTGTTTTAGATTCCAAATTGCAATGAACCCTTAAGAAACTCACTTTCCAAGATTTTATGTATTATCAAAGAATATCCACAATGATCTATAAAAGTTTTTAAATA